ACTGTATGTGTATATGTAACATTCCTTTTAGCTGAGTTATATTAATTAAAAATACGGGAAAACTATAAATTAGTAAATAAATTAATTGCCTGCGTACTATTTTGTGCATACATGTCATCTGAATTTTTGATAATGAAAGTAGGTTAGGTTAAAATTAATAGTGGCCTAAACCTGGCATTAGAGTAAGGCACCTGAATCGGTTTTGCATATTAAATACGGTCGTTTTTAAATTTTAAATCATTTGTAAGACCGACGACCTGTTGTTATATAATTACCTACTATAATTATTATCGCGGTCATTTCGAACACTTGCAATTAAAATTCTATTTTTTTGCTTTCTTTTGTCAAATCTTTGTATGTAATTGATGATTTTAAAATGGAAATTAAAACCAATCAAACTATTCAAGTAGATGCAATGCAATTTATATTTACTGTTAAGTGAACAATTTGTAAAATATTATGTTTTGGACAGATTTGTATAGTTTTCACTTATCATTAATTTTTATCTATTTGATTTTAACTTCGCATCTGTATAAAACCTGTTGTAATTAAGTAACATGCTCAAGAGCTGACAGAATTTACACTTACACTGCATTCGTTCTAGTTATTGACCGGCACAATTGCTGGGTATATGTAATACGTATGTAATAGCTTGCATAAAATTGTTATTTATTTATTATTTTGCGCATTTTATTTAGGGCAATAATTTTAGAATTGTTCACTTTCGTTTTGATTTATTCAGTCGAATATATCAATATTAGATGCATTTTTACTTAGCAAAAGATACCTTATATACATACCTACTGTATAATTCACCTACTCACCCAGATTTTGACTAATAAAATTATAAATAAATAAATACTCATCCCACTCAATAATTTTTATTACCTACCACGTTTATGATTGGCAATGTCCAATAAAAGCTACATTACAAAGCGTATATTTAGTTGAGCTATTAGGGCCCCAAAAGTCGAATAAAAAAAGGCAAACAAGGTCTCATAAACAACGTCATAAAATCAGTCTTTCGGTCCGACAGCATTGTAAAAGTTTAAATTTTATTTGCGAGCGAATTTTTCGACAGTTTAGCAAACGGATAGTAATAATACTAACGGATCGTGAGATGCACTGTTGCATTATGCAGTAATGTGTTGTGTATTGTGTTGTTATTTGGGTGTTTAGGGACTTTCGTAGTGCACCATAAAAACGTTCCGCTTTACGATAGTGAAAGTTTTCGGTGTCGTTAAATAGCTGTTTATTGTTCGGTCCAATTTCACTGTTTGCCGGCAGCCCGTCCGTCCGTAAACGCATGTTGTTCAGGGACAGAAGGGTTGCGACTCTGTATAGATATTTCGAACGAAATTCGTCGGTAATAATAATAAAATGACAAAAGAACGTCGAGCCGGAGCGAGGACGACGTCTGTTCAAATGACCATGGACGTGTTGATGATGATGTGGTGTGTGATGATGATGCCTGCGAGGAAAAGGTCACTCAACTAATATACCTATCCACTGCATTATATCATAGTCAGTCAAACATTATATGTATACGGGGGTTGAACAATAATTTCTTAATGATGCCTATGTGACATTAGCCTCAACTTTTGACGAAAAAACAATCACAAGATTGTTGAAATATAGGAACAACATGTACTGGCACATGTTTCGATCATCAGGAACCCGGGTGGCCAAAAATCATAAATTGCAGGTTCTGGTCCATGTGCTGGTCCAGATTGACTACTCACTTAACCCGATATAAAACTGCAAGAATTCATCAACTTCACGTAGCCCAAGGCATATTGTTTAATTGTTGTTTGGCCAAATCGATAGCTTTTGCAGCTTTTTTCTCAATGAAAATGAAATTGAAAAAAATCACTTCCTGGTGGAAGAATTGTGAAAATTCATACAAAAAAAAGCTGGCGGCCCGGACTTGATTCTCGGCGGATGCGATATTTTCCTTTACTTTTTAACCTGCTTTAATGCCAACATAGACATTTGCAAATGTAATTTTTAGTTTGTGTAGGGACGCAGGGAGTATCTACAGTTTCATGTCCTTTTATAATAAATACCGATAAAACGTAACAGAACTTCCGATGTTCATGTTGTTAATACAAAAATGACGATAAACAGTACAAAAATTCAAAATTTCAATAAGTACACCTTACAACCAAATCGGGAAAATAGTTACCACACATGTCTAACAGATTTGAATAGATAACATACCAACGTTTTTTTTTTTTTACTATCTACCCTCATAACCTACCCCCGCATCCACCTAAATGCTACTTGTTTATAATTTCGTTGAATATTTAAAAAAATAGCAACCTCAATTTTAATACATTTTTATGTAATTTAATTTTTCGGACGCACCCTGTATAAGAGCCTTCATCTATTCGTTGGAATTGTTTAATAGCGCAGCCAGCTTTTGTGGCCAGAGTTAAATAATGACCGAAATCACAATTCAAGGCTTTTCCGTCAATAAACTTAGAATGAACTCCGAATATGAGCATATATATTAGACGATCATGTTTAACATCAGTTTCTTTAAAAATGCTACGTAATTTGCTTTTAGTATATGTGTAAACTTTAAACGCCACACAATTTAAATTGCAAAAGTTGCTTTATCACGTTTCAAATATAATCATCAATTACTTGTTCACACGAAAATTGCGGATGACCCACACAATTTCGTATTCATTAAATTTTTGCGCATGATTCGAAAAAATATCATATCTATTGAAACTAATATAGGTACCTACATACCCAGATATTGCAGGTACGTAAATATAATACGTGGATGCAAATATAGCATAATTTTTCAGTTTCATTGAACCCAACAAATGAATAATATAAATTGCACTATAAAATACACGACCGTATTACTTTGCTTATTTTACATTTAACTAAAAAACTGCTTATGTTCGAACTGGTAATATCAAAATTACATAAGGTATCGTAAATACAAACATAATAGCGGTTCTAATAGAAACCGCTTACAAATAACTTCAAAACAAATGTAGCACTTATTTGTACAGGTAATTGATTTTTAATAGATACCTACATTATGCACTGGGCACTTACGTAATTGTAAAGTGATTAGTTTTCTGATCTATAGCAGGGTTGGGATGGTTCGCATTATAAAGGGAAGGATCTACAAAAAGTTTAAGTACCTGTATTGTATTTATAAATAATAAATCAATCTTCTTAGATGATTTTCGAACAGAAACATTTTGCTGCTGTTTAATTTATTTAAAATTGGTGAAAAAATAATAACTACCTACATAAACCCCTTTCAGTCTAAAATTATAAGTACCTATAGATTGTGCTTATACACATGTTAATTATTAAGTACGAAATGCGACAAAGTATTAATTTATTGTAGTTATGTAAGTCGGGCATGGATCCTGAAACTTGCCAAAGCTTTTTTGCGCAATACACACAAAATAAGAACAAAAATCGTTGTCGTAATTTGGAAGCAACGAACACATCTACGTTATTAGCATAAATCGCACACTGTTAAAAATATTTCAAGTGAAAGGAAATAGTTTAATTTTAGCCATTGAACGATGAAATGATTCTTTTTCATCTGGCTAAAAAGTGTGTGATAGCAGCAGTAACGATGACACGGCAGCTCAAGCTACTGTTGTAATAATAACGAACGAACGACAACGGCGGTTGATGAGAAGCAACGCTGCGCAATCGTCGCGGCCTTGGCCGTAGAGCTGTACGCTTGTCTGGGTAATTCAGTCAAGGTTCGCGGCCGTTGAACTTCCTTCCTCGACCGTGAGCTTTACACAGGCGGTTCCCCACTCGTTGGGAGGTGCCTGGGCGCGCGCGCCACCAATCACGGGACAGAACGCACCCAGCCGATTGGTGGCCAGCAGCATTGTTGTCAGTGACCTCCAACTTCAAAATACGATGAACCCGCAACTTCGCGCTTTTGCTGCTAAAATACTCGGGGTCCCGCACGTCCCCACCTCCTCCTCCGCTCTGCTGTTGCCCTTCAGGTAGTCGCGGGCCTTATTTACTATACACTGAACTCGCCGGGCCCAGTTCGCACCGGGACTTTCACTCTCGGCAGTTCTTGCGGAGCTCTTGCTTGCACAAGAAGCTCCTTCAGTGTCAGTGAAAGGTGATCAGCATTTTTGTATACACATGCGTTATTAGTTATTGTGGTGTTCGTATATTGTCGTTGTGAAATAATGAACGTTTCGTTTGTAATTCAATAATTACAAGCAACCCTTCTTCACATTTGGATTATTTTGTCAGTTTATTAAAGTGTGATCAGTGGTAATTGTTGAAAATGATACTTTCACCGGATAGCAGCATGCACAATATCGCTCAGCTACCCGAGTCGACTACTCATCAATTTACAGATATTCCTATGACTTCAAACACCAAAGAGCCAGCGCTTAATTTAGGTACTTGCTCTATTTAAACCTTATAAAAAAAAAACGCCCTTTCCCTTTTCAACTTTAACGACTGTTTCTAATGGAGTTACTTTCCCCTACGGCGACCTCGAACGTTTCCACACTATGTTTCTGTAATAGTAATGTAAACAAACGAATTGGTAACTTTTATGGACACGTGCTTCAACAAATACGTACACAAGTACCCATGTAGTTTAATTTATTCGGAAGAAGAGATCGGAATGGTTAATAAAAATAAACGATTCCAAACAAAGTAAAAATCTGTTCAGGAAACCTGTTCTCTGTCGAGAATAAAAGAGTAGTAAAACAAACACACATACCTGCATGTAGATATGTACACAGAGACTTGTGCAGCTGATGCAGTACTTTCACCGACTTTCTTATGTAATTTCGTGGCGCGCGTAATGACGAAAGAGAAAGTTCGTGTCAATGTATTCATGGTCTCATTTCGTGACATTTCTCTTTGGTCACCTATACACTAACTAATGTTACTATAACATTATTAGATATTATTCGTTACTTATCTATAAAACTTGTCTTTTATTGTTACTCACAGAAATGTTTTTATTTCAGAATTCGATGGAACGACGGTATTATGCAGAGTTTGTGGCGACAAAGCCTCTGGATTCCATTACGGAGTACATTCATGTGAAGGATGCAAGGTAAGAGAAAAAACTTGTCAAATGTCAATTTTCAACGGTGTATGGTGGTTTGTTTCCCAAAAAGTAAAGTTAAAGCAACGTGAGTTTGATGCCAAAACATTAACTTTCTTCACTGGAATTACATTCCATAACATTTGTAGATGTCAATGTTTGTTTCGAATATAATCGATTCACGTAGAAAGGGAGTGTAAGTAGGTATCTGACCTTTTCTTCAAAATTACTTCTAGCCACAAGCTCCCTAATTTGTATTTATTTCCGTGTAAATTAATGACTGTTAGTTATACTCCCACTTAGAAATTCGTTATTTTATGTACACGTACGTTTCAAATAATTGTCATTTGTGCGTAAAATACGCACAATAATCTTCGTTCCCAAATAAGTTTGAGGCTTATGTTTGAACTACCTGCGCTATGGCGCAAAACCAAGGTTGAAGGTCGGTTGCCAGTGTCAATGTCCGGTGCGAGCGCAATGCATGCCATGAATCAGAGGGAGAGGAAGGGTGCGTGCAAGCAAGAAGGATGAAAGAATACAGCAGGCACCGACGAGGCGTGGGCAAGCGCACAACGTTGCGTTCGTTAGATCGGGCAGCGGCAGCAGTCGAAGCTCCTCGCTAACTAGGCGATTGACCTTCGTCGAATAATATAACAAAAAACAAATTCAAGGCTCTTCCAAAAATACGGGTTCAAGATCGGTCTTTCGAACTGCGCACTGGGACTGACGCCCTCCTGGTGCCGTTTCTCTCCGTGCTCATTTTTTTTTTCTCTATCTCTCTTTGCCTGCTGTTAATATTGATGGTGATTTATTGTTGCTGCCTTCTTCGGAATTCGGGATGTTCATGTTATGTAAGTAACGTGGGCGACCTTATTCATTCACCATCAGATTTAATTACTGTTTCAGTTTTTAAATAGACTTCGGTATGATTTTTATTATTAGGTATACATACGTGTAAAAATAATATATATTCCTTTGATTTTATTTTAAATAAATACGACCTTCAAAATGAACACAATTGCATAATGAACTCATGTATCTGCCTAGGTAGTACCTATAATTAAAAACTAATGTACGAATAACTACTAGATGTAAAACATTTCTGATTTAAATTTCCATTTCAAGGTTTGTGTTTCCTTCAAATCACGTAGAGATTTACAACACTAACAGTATTTGTCGGTTAAAATTATTAACTTTTCAAAGAAATTTTAGTGTGTGATAAACATAAAAAAAACGGTGATAAGTAATTTAATTTAAACTACCTACCTACTTTTACTGACTTCTGTTTAATAAACTTTCTTCAAACTATAGTTAGTTTGGAATGTTTAGATAAATAAAACCATTGCTGTTCACCACTACAACAAATTTCTATTCACTTTCGATTGAGGCATGTGAATTTTCGGAAATGAAACTTGACCGTGACAGAGAGAGTAGGATTACTTTTTTCATTATGTATTCTGCGTGGCGATTACAAGTTGAGAAAGTCTGTGATAATTACAATACTATCCATGATGTGAAATGTCGAGATTTAGTAATTTCTCCACTCTTACGAAAATAACGAAAGGTGAAAGTCTTACTCAATTTGAGGTCAATGAAAAATGCATTCGAGCATTAACCTCGAAGAAGAAATTGCTTTACTTCCAACGACGGTGTGCTGTTTCTTTTACACTTCATAGAAAGTAAAAGTAACCACATTCGATCTTCGCTACAAACACAGCAACTTTTTTTCCATCTACCTAACTGGTGCGTCTGAAAAATCTTTTTTGGCCCGTGCTTTTTTTTGTAGGTACGAATTGGATCCATTCGCCATATGCTAGATAGTGTGCAGGTATAAAAAAAAAAGGTTCGGACCTTTTTCTTACCTATGCGTATATATAATATTGATTCCCTTCCGCTAGTAGCGTGCTTAGACAGTTCAAGGCCACCCACTACTACCTGATGATCATCTCCGTTCTCCGCCCTTATTCGCACCTGCATCATTACCTTATCCATTTGGCAACCCTTTTAAAGCGAACCCTTTTACTCTTATACCCTTGTTCGCAATCCTTTCTGCTTTTTTATATAATATTGGAAGTGGCGCAGCCGTCAAAAGACAAAAAAAAAACGGCAGATGGCCAAAGCTTGGTAATAGTTGACGGGTAGCAATTTAGTTTTTTGCTCTTCGTCCAATTTTGAAATGTGGTCTATCAACAATAGAACCCTTTTACGATTTATTTGCTAATTTCGAAAGGAAAGAAATTAAATTACTGGTTGTCATTGTTCACTCGAATGCAATTTGATACGCTGCTCAGAAATTGCTCTACCTAAAAAACCGAAAAGAGAAACAAGAAAAAACTAATAATTCCCATAACTTATAGTTAAAAAATAAATTACCTAAAACTAACCGAAAAGGCACCAGATGATTTTTTTAAAATAATATTTTGAGGAACATAAGTTACAATTGACACGGCAGCTCAAGCTACTGTTGTAATAATAACGAACGAACGACAACGGCGGTTGATGAGAAGCAACGCTGCGCAATCGTCGCGGCCTTGGCCGTAGAGCTGTACGCTTGTCTGGGTAATTCAGTCAAGGTTNTAAAAAATCAGTGTTATTAGATTTTTTTAAATTCGTTTAGGTCATTAGTATATACGTATAGATATCCACCTATGCTATACTTGTACATAGTTTTCTTATAGACGTATTGAATATTGTTTGTGTATTTACCTAATAAGTAAAAAAAGTTACAAAGTATAACTTCGTAAATTTCATACCTACCAATATTCCACACAAAACACCGGTAAGGACAAATTGGTTTTAGAAACGAAAATTATTGCTTAACCAACTCTCGATTATTTTGTTCAAATTGATTTTTTTGCCTAATTGATTTTTTTGCCTGTTTCTTCGGTCATTTTGTTTCAGCTGTGTACACATACGAATTTGTATGTTACAAAAAAGTTTCAGGATTAGTTGGCAGACGCGTAGGTTTATTAGTTCATCGTTTATTCTTTAGGTAGCGCGAGTTGTGCCGATGACCGTCAGCAGCAAGCCTTAGGTATTCGGTGAACGACCGGACCGAGCGCTCCAATGTTTGTAATCCACACACTAGCGCCGCCTAGCGGCAACATTCTATAAACAAGTAACGGGATATCGCTCGCAGCGCGCAGTTCGCTAACTTACTTTTGACGAGGTTGTAGTCGGATCAATACAAGAGATAAACGAAAATTCGGCACGTACTAGTCCCTCAGCCCACACATTGTTGCCTCTTCGTTTATTTCAACAACAAAGAAACAAATTTATATTTGAGAAAGTAGTCATTTGTTAGCTAACACCTATTATTTCTGGAAATCGGAAAACCAAAAAAAGTTTTTAATTAACATTGTTCGGAATTTTTTTAAATGACTCGAACCAATTGGTGAAATTTCAACCACACACGAAACTACTTAATAGTAGTGTGATAAAAAAATGATTAAATACGACAAGTACGGGAAGTAAAAGTGTGTAAGCGCAATAAACCACTTGGGTTAGTAGTATTCCTTATAGGAACAAAAATATTGCTATCAAAACATGTATGAATGATGACGATTATGTAGTTTGAAATTGTTACAATGAACTAGAAGGTTAGCAGCAAGTGCTGATAAAGCATTCAGTTTTTGTGTCGTTGTAATGTGGATGAACCCGAAGTGAAAGATGAGCTAATGACACGGCTTGTTATTTACTAACAGTCCCCCGCATATTGCCCCGTGGTAATTGCGTATTACATTTTTACGCAAATTGTTGCACAAGTGTAATGTCCGATGCATAATCAGCTCTGCTACATAATCAAAACAAATAAAAAATCGTAGAATAACAAGTGGAAGTGCTCATGTAGATACATATATGTTTATAATAATTACATACTTAGTGGTAGTGTAATACGAAGCAGCGGTAACAGTAATTGCAACATTTAATACTTGTTCTTAAATTAGTCGTACTCATACATACATACCTATGTGCATACGTACGCACGAAAGTATTACTGCGTGTCAATTTACATTATTTTTGTTAAAAAGCGAATGATTTGTAAAACACTGTTTTTCTCTCTGCATTTATTAAATTCTTAGAATTTCTACCTAAAACCTTCTACTTCGTTTCAAGAAAAACAGAAATACTGCTTGTTGTGTAAGAGAAATGATATTTGAAGACATGAAACTAGAAGTCAATTCACTTTTTAACTAATTGATTGCAAGAGAAAACCTATAGAAAGTCCGTATCTACTAATGTAAGATGCCTAAAACTTGGAGGTTTTAAGTCTGCTTCTTTTTAAAAGAATGTCTTTCTGCTTCTTTTTCTATAGTTCTAGTGGTTGGTTTGAATGGCAACTTAAATTCGTATGAATGATTTGCAATGCATGCTGTGGATTGTTCGACTAATGACAGTGATAGGCATGTAAGAGATGGAATTAGCAAACTCCAGACTTAGATCACCGAGTAATTAGCCACTTCTTATGAGAGCATAGAGCATCGTTCGTTGCTGTTAACGAGGAAGCCGTTAACGACGGCTCTTTAGCCCCGGCCCAATTTAACGAACGGGGTCATCCTTTCAACGAAAAAAACAGAGGAAAAAAATAAGAACAAGTCTATTTTGAAACGAATGTAGCGCGTTCGAGATAAAAATATTCAGGTCAGTTGCCCTAATTCGTGAACTCGGCAATACGGGAACGCATAGTAGGGCCGTTGAACTCTCGGTAATGCGCATGCACCTACGTCACCGTTATCGCATTGCATTGCCTCTCTCGTTCCCGCGTTGTACAGATTGCGCCCGCCGCCGCGAGTATAACAACCTAGATTTGCGGCTATTGACCTATGCTAGAGCACGTCGTCGTAGGGAATAATAACAAAAGCCGAGGCACAGGTCGGTGCAAAATGCACGGCACAGTTGCCTTTTTTCCCCTGCAAACTAGCGCGCATTAGCAGAAGGGCATTACTTTGTGCCTCGGCTTCATTGTTGAGTGTTGGTATTATTAATCAGGAAATATCTTGGGTTGTACTTCTGCATGGGCTGTCGCGAAACTGGGTCTCCCATTACGCCTATTACGAATTTGTTAAGAATTTAGTTTATGCGTCAGTAAACAAATTTATTTGTTTTAAAATTACTCATTGATTTTACTAAGTACACCGATCTTATAATTAATTACTTTTGTATTAGAAACAAGAAGTTGACAAGTAGGTAAGCTATTAAAGCACTTTTTTATTTCGTAATTAATATTTATTACTGTAAATAGTAACAATGATATGATAGATACGCATACACAATTTTTTTTTGTTTTCATCATGCATATACATATTAATTCTAGATATATCATAGTAGGCGCATCACATTCATTTACTTTTGTGTAGTGTGTACGTACATATACATATGTATGTAGTTCTCGTAACCTTCTTGCCGTTATACGAATGATCTCGAATAGCGCCAGTCACCTAGCTGCCCTCGGGTAACATTTTCAGAATTAATTTTAAATTCCGGGCAGCTATAAAATAGATTGGCGAGTCCCGCGGTTCTGCGGAAAGATGAACGTTGTATTTTTCTAGACATTAAATGTGATTCATCTACTGGCTATTTTGACCGCATTTCGAACTCTTGGGTTCGACGTACTGGCCTGACCCTTATAGCGTGGGTGCCGCCATTACCCTTAATGTGCAACACTGACGCCTCGGGAGGTTTTCATTTGTCTATATATAAAGATGAATTTACTACATATGTACGTGCTTACGTAGGTGGTAGGAGACACATTCTTTTTGAGGGGTGTTCTATTAAAATAAATATCGCACAAGGTGTAATCCCAACGAATAGGGTTACGTCAAGCAATAAATTTAAAGTGACTGACTTCATACCATTTCTTTTCGCCTTAAATGGGTATTAGATGATTTTTGTTGTAGAATTTTATAGATCGTTTCCAATTTAAGAAAAAATAGCACTCAGGCATTCGGTTACAAAATATATAATGGTTGCTTTTACCTAACTTTGCTACGGTAAATGTTAATTCTTATGGACGGCGAGTTGTTTCGCATACTTCGCATTGATACATAGCATGTTAAGCACGTATGGGGATTCCCACGTTGTGTGGCGTGTAGTAGTAGGTATCTAATAGTATTTTTCCTATGACGACGACAAGAGAGGAGTCACACAGCCCAGCCGAGGCAGTAGTTAGGTTCGTTGACATGTATAGCACAGTTACATTGTTGAGGTAGCGCGCGTATCAAAGCAGGTATTCGGTGACGTAACGCAGTTTGCGCGCGATGACGTCAGGAACGTTCGAGAACGAAGAACGGGGCCATTGTGCACAAAGGTAAAAAGCCTTTGACCGGCCAATTCTCTACTTTAGCAGCCGTTTGTTGTTGTCGATGACCAGTGGGTTCAACGAACTGGCGCAGCAGGCACGACAGCAGTAATCGAGTTTCATATGTACCAATGACCGCTTGCTATTGTAGTGGTATTATAGCAGCAGAGCACTTAAGTAATATTCCGCAGGCGACTCTTATCGGGAAGGAGGACTAATTTCGACTACATAAATAAAACCCATGTTTGTGTGCGACTGATAGGAAGTCAGCTCGGTTCTTGGAATAGTAATAACTGTTGAGGATCGATCATAAAAACAAAAAATTTCTCTTAATGTGTGATAACAGAACCTACTAATATTTACTAACTGACAAATCATCAGGAAGCGAAAATTTAATAAATTAGTTTGCTTTTTCGTATAAATGGGTTTACTTCCTTCGTTTATTATTATTATTTATCATTTCTGCTGAAGAAGAATGTACACATTGAAATTTTGTTTTTAATGAGATTATGATAAGATGTATAGAAAATTAAAAAAAAAATTAAGAATGGAGTATACGTCGGTCGGTGAAATTTACCGCACTGAAGTGCAGATCACCCAGATTCGTATTTTAATACCTGCCACCTAATAATATTGCAGCCGTCTGTTGTTGGGTTCGTCGACCTCTGGCGCTAAATCGATTAGATCGGAATCATACAGGTCCGTCAGGCCCTCTGTGTATTTACTATGCGCGCAGTAGTGGTTTGCATGTCTGTGTATAAACGATCTCTTCCAACCTACTACCACGTTATTATTTTACACACACTTGCGCGCGTGGTAGTTAGTGTAAGCGTTGCCGCCTTTTTTTAAGGTTCCAAATCGGCTCGATTTAGCAAACGATTTGACCGAAAAAATTCGTTAGATAGTGTAACGCGGCAGTAGCGGCGGGCGCACCGTAGTAAGTAGGTAGTAGGGCGTTCTTTCTGTCCGTTATTATAGAGAACATAAGCAGCAGCAGCAATTGGGCGAAGTGACGAAACTTCGTCCGTCTCACTTCGACGGTTGCGTTTCGGTCGTGCCAGAAAGAGAGCGGCTACTCTCACTTTCACGCGGCTAACTGGCCTCGCGTTCGCGAGCTTTGGCGGGTTAACAACCGGCAACTGGGTCAACAAGCTAACTGTGGCAAACTCACGATCTGGGCTCAGTTCACTTCGGCACATCAACGCTTACGAACGTGCGTTCACTAAACTGTCGTACCATTGTTATTCCTTACACAACAAATATAAATCTATTGTCAGTTAAAACGCTGTGTATTCTTGTGTCATTTCCAGTGTGTTCTTTGTTTGTTGCGTATTATGTCAGTTTAATTACATTAGTTTGTTAAAATGATGGCAGTGATGACTTGTAACGAGTCCTTCTCATCCGCCAAAGAAACAGCCACCAACACCGTTGTGACCCCCAATGATAGCGATGTTAATCTCATTAATAATGCTAACGATAGCAGTTCGGGTTGTGACAGTGACGATTGTCCCTCACGTAATGATTGTTCTTCGCAGGGTTTTTTCCGGAGATCCATACAGCAAAAAATACAATACAGGCCGTGCACAAAGAATCAACAGTGCTCCATCCTGCGAATCAACAGGAACAGGTGTCAGTATTGCAGATTAAAGAAATGCATCGCCGTAGGGATGAGCAGAGATGGTAAGTTTTGTTAAAATTACTTTACTAAACATTAACATTGAGATGGACATTATGCAGGCGTAACTGTGACAGTTATAATTATTTCCGAAGTTAAAAATATCCCATTTTCTTTTAATTATACCTATTATAGTAGATAATAATTTAATGACAGCGATTTATCAAATGAATTGCATATTATAATTAAGTAAATCATGAAGATTTTTAGTTGCAGTGTTGAGATTAACTATTCTGGAGCGTTTTTAAGAAAAATATCGTTTTCGATTGGGTTCGCGAGTTAAATTAGCCATTTTAGGTAAATAGGGCAGATCAGCTGGGTGAACGACCTGCGAAATCTAACGGCGCACGCCGCGAAAGTTCAGCAAGCGGAGGTGAACGACCTGGCAACAATACTGGGTCAGTCTTACCCCAGGCCCGCGCGACTCGTTCGAAAGTTGTTATGTTCCCCGTTACCGATATCGCAACATTTGCGTAACAATTTCGCATTGGCAGCTAACGTTGTGCATTTACTAATAGTGTAATAGGTATAACCATGCCTTGCCTCCTTAGCCACGACCACTGTAGTACATACGCTCTGTACGATAAGTAGCAAAACAACGAATATACTACATTACGAACGGCGAGGTCGTTGTTCTTTGCCTCCACCACCTTCGCGCGGCCAACGAACGGCCGTGCCACATCTGAGAGACTTTTACTTCATCCTGGATTGCCTCATGCAATTTCTAGCGGCGGCGGTGACTTGCTACGACGACGGCCGAAGAAATTGCGAAACAAATTGTTTTCTCCACAAATAACTTTTACTTTTATAATTGGCCGCAATCACGGGAATTTTTTCGCGATAGTGGGATATCCAAGCGCAGCCTTTCTCGCATTCGTTCGCTAATTGTTTTTAATTGTCGTGGTCGCGCTGCTGTTTGGCCTTTGGTAAAATAGGAAAGTTAACTTTTTATACTTTACTAGAAACTTTTATAAGAAAACCGCAATGTTTTCAAGAGAAATTCGATTTCGTAATACGTTCGTTGGTCGTCTACTATCTCTATAGTAGTTCATTAACCTTTGTTCCGTATTCCATAAGAACAATTTTTATTGATATCTAATTTGTTGGCTTACATTTGTTAAAATCAATTTTAATAAGCTCATGTCAAAATGTTAAAATTTACTTCTTATTGAAAGTGCATCCAATGATTTGATGGGGTTGTTGCCAACCGGTGAAATGAACGAGGTTGCATCAACCCCAATAAAGTGGGGGTAGTGGAAGATGAGCCTGATGTGTTTTACACAAGTGCATTGTGCGCAGGTTCATTGAACTCTCCCAGGCAAGCGCGCGGTGGTGGTCATAGGTACTGGGTCACCGAAATCTTGCAAATACACTTGCAGAATCAATAAGCTGCATCTTTGGGGGTCTTTGCTCCATCCACTATTTTAATATATCCAAAGTATCCATATATAGGTCACAATAAAGTAATTTCACATTTATTTAACTGAAAAACAAAACTAATTTTTTTTTAATTAAAATAAAAAGGCATTTTCGTTTCAAAAATTTTGCACTAAAAATAGAAATACGAAGATTCTAATGAATTTTTCTATGTTATGTAACAATAGCTATTTTCGAACGGAACAAAATTAATGAAATACGTCTATTTGAATGCAATTTAAAGGGCTTTCAAAAAAAAATTTTGTTATCAAATATTCAATTGGGACTTTTGTTTTGTGCTTTACGATGAATTTGAATAAGAGGGGAAAAACAGGAGGGATTTGCCTAGCGCGTAGACAACCAACCAAACAGAAGTGTCGTGCGCGTTACAGTTTTACGTGGGCAGTAGCGGGTAAGAAAAGACGTCTACGGTACACATTTGCGGCAAGTAATAAGCGATCCGTTGTCGCTGCTCAATATAGGTACGAATTGAATTAAGTAAGCGAACATAGAACACAACACGGGAAATTTATGTAAACAAGCATATGCGTCACCGCGCACTGTAGATAACAATTGCGCTCAAGCTTATTGGAACGCGAGATCAATTCATCTGGTTGTCGGGCGGGGAAGGACGTTGTTTTTGTCGTCGACGCGCGTTGCGACCTTCGTCGTATTCCAACAACGGGCCACCCGGGCAGGGGCAGAGAGAGCGTGTACCAGCAGCAGCCACGGCCGCGGCGTACCGCTCAAGTTCAAGGGTGAAGTAGGAGGGAGTTGTAGTGGGGGGACCTTCGAACGAATCGAGAGGGGACCAGTGACCGTGGGTGCGCTTGGCTTGACGGTTATTCGCGCCACGCACGTTAGTTAGTACCGTATTACTCTAGTCGGGAATGCCAGCTCGCGCGCTAAGCAGCCCGACAACGACAGTTGTTAACAACGTACGCGCACATGTTCTGAAAGGCGAAAGTGCACAGTGCAAAATGGGTGAAGAGTTACCCATACTTAAAGGCATACTTAACGGAGTCGTCAATTATCACAACGCACGTAGGTGTCACTTATTATCAACCGTGTTTTCGTGGTTTCTTTTCGTCGACACTTTCATTGACCTCATAAAACACAAATTTCTCCAGATGACATTTCATGCCCTCACGTGAACTTTCTCTTGTGTTCCTTCATAAATTCAACGCTGAAATCGTTTTTTATAACATAAGCATTTTTGGTTAATTTGTGAAATACTTACGATTTTATGCAAATTTACGAAAAGAAAGAGTTAAATCTTATTACACTTAAGTGCAGTAAAAAGAATGAAAAGTTACAAAAGTTGTTAATGATCAGTGAGGCAGATGCTAAAAAATAGCAGCTGGCTGGGCACGCGTTGTCCAGCACCTGGCGCCCTTTTATCGGTCACGTAAATATTATTAGGGAAAGTTGAATAGCTGTCACACATGTCCTGATTAACGTCCTTGTTTTTAATATGCTTCGTGCCGTTTGCCCTCCATTTACGTTATCTTTTTTTCTTTACAGCCGTGAGATTCGGCCGAGTGCCCAAAAGAGAAAAAGCCAGGATACTGGCTGCCATGCAACAAAGTTCCAACTCTAGATCAATTGAAAAAGCAGTGGCTGCAGAGCTTGAAGATGAACAAAGACTGCTTACCACCGTTATTCGAGCCCACATTGATACGTGTGATTTCACGAGAGATAAGGTCGAGCCCATGTTGGCTCGTGCTCGTGAACAACCCTCTTATACAGCATGTCCAGCTACCTTGGTAAGTAGAAAAATTGCAATTATTCTTGTTATCGACAAAAGTCTATGACGAGCCCTGTACTGTTGCTGCAATGTCAATGGTCGGACAGAAATGAGATCAAATAAATTCGCCCCGAACAAAGCGATGCATAGCCAGACTGGATGACCTTGCTTGAAAGGATAAGCGGAAACATTCAAGGCTCTTCAATGTGCTTTTTTCTCGTTTGTTTCACTTATTAGGTTTCACATTCAAGGTTAACGTATCAGATCAGTATATTATTTTACGTCAGCACTAGCTAGCATACGAATACTATTAACCTTGGTCAAGCGAGAATTGTTCGGTTTTCATTTAAATTAGAATGTTCTTACAGTTTTCTTGACGACTTTCTCTTGTTGTTACAGGCATGCCCATTAAACCCAAATCCTCAACCATTGACCGGCCAACAAGAATTACTGCAAGATTTTTCGAAAAGGTTTTCACCTGCTATACGCGGAGTTGTTGAGTTTGCAAAACGGATTCCTGGATTTTCCTTACTTTCTCAAGACGATCAAGTTACTCTTCTTAAAGCCGGAGTGTTTGAGGTGCTTCTCGTTCGACTAGCGTGCATGTTCGATTCGCATACCGCCAGTATGGTTTGCTTAAACGGACAAGTGTTAAAACGTGAATCGATTCATAATAGTTCAAATGCGCGTTTTTTAATGGATTCGATGTTTGATTTCGCCGAACGGATGAACGCCTTGCGTCTTTCCGATGCCGAGATCGGTTTATTCTGTTCCATCGTCGTGATTGCCGCTGACAGGCCGGGACTACGCAACACCGAACTTATTGAGAAAATGCACAACAAACTCAAATCTGCTCTACAAATGGTCATCAATCAGAATCATCCTGGGCAGCATGAAATTCTCAACGAATTATTAAAGAAGGTACCCGATCTTAGAACATTAAATACCCTGCATTCCGAAAAGTTGCTTGCATTCAAGATGACCGAACAACAGCAATTAATGCAACAACAGCAGCAAGTTTGGAATTCTGAAGAAGAAAATAACAGTAAGAGTCCGGCTGCATCTTCGTGGTCTTCGTCCTCCGATGTTGCAATGGAAGAAGCAAAAAGCCCTCTTGGGTCGGTTTCTAGCACGGAATCGATGTGTTCTGGTGAAGTTGCTTCTATCAGTGAATATCATCATCACCACCATCACCAACAGCCAACCCATATCAGCCCAAATGTTAGTCATGCTCCATTGTTAGCAGCTACGTTAACGGGAGGTCTTTGTCCGCAAAGGCATCGTGCCAATTCTGGCTCGACTTCCTCCGGTGAAGATGATTTGGTAGCCACCTCTCATTTAATACATAATGGTCTCACAATAACACCTGTCCCAAGACCACCGCAGTCAACTTTAAGATTCCGGAAATTAGATTCACCAACAGATTCCGGTATAGAATCTGGAACGGAAAAGGTAGACAAAGCAAGTGCTCCAACTTCAGTGTGCTCAAGTCCGCGATCTTCAATCGAAGATCATCATATCGTCGAAGATATGCCAGTGCTGAAGCGAGTGTTGCAAGCACCCCCATTGTACGATACGAATTCTCTTATGGATGAGGCGTACAAACCACATAAGAAGTTTCGTGCTCTACGAAACAAAGATTCTGCAGAAGCGGAACCAGTCATTACCGTTTCTCCCCAACCCCAAAACCAACAACAGTCGCATTCGTCGTTGTCAAGCACTCATTCGACGTTGGCGAAATCGTTAATGGAAGGACCACGAATGACGGCGGAACAAATGAAACGCACCGACATCATCCATAATTATATAATGAGAGGCGATACGTCGACGGTTGTCGTATCTCATGGGTCATGTCCATATAAGGGCAGTAACAGCAGTTCCCTTCTGCAACCTGCCTGGGCCACAAGCGTGATAACGACGACTTCGCGTCAATCGTATGCCAATAATTCGGCAGCTTCTTCGCCACAGTCGGATTACTCGCGCGTGTATTATCATCCGCAGTCGCCACATTCGACATCGCCCATCCCTCCACAAAGCCGTTCACCGATGACGACGCCTCCCGCGCCGTCTCCTGTTTCCACGCCGCCCAAAATGGTCGAGTTACAAGTGGACATTGCGGACTCGCAGCAGCCGCTTAATCTTTCGAAAAAGTCACCATCTCCGTCGCCGCGACCTTTGAAAATAGTGACGCTAGAAGTGTAGGCGGACAGTGCGACATGTCGTTAGTACAAAAGTGGAGTCGCGTAACCGACATCGTACCACAGTGGTCGAAGGAAGGTTTAATGTCATTGGTCTGAAGTGATCTCTTGTTACGGTACTTGTATTTCAAATTCAAAAGTTATATTGCAATTGTACAGTATCTGATTTTGATAGGCATGTATGTTTGTCGTTGGAAGAGAATTAAGTACCTCTGTAATGCTAACAAAAACGTTCCTTCGGTCGATGGTCTGTGTCGGATCGGAACTCTTACCTTATGGTGCCACTTTAATCGTATTACAAACCAAATAATTTATTACTATGTAGCAGTTATGTATGTTTGTGTGAAGACCTATGTTAATGTTAGTAGAAGTAGTAGTTACTTCCGCCATTACTGTGGTCGGCGTCGAATTTCCCTTTGTAAATAGCGGACCAACAACCTTTCCTCATCGGCGCTGACACTTCACTAGTTTAAGGTTAAAAAACAATCATTAATTTAAACAGCAACAACAGCTCCGTAATAAATAATTATTATTGTACAAGCATAATATAATTATTATAGTAGATATATTTATGATGAAACTGGCATCATGCACCAATCCTACATAGAATTTACTATGACTATGAATTAATATATGTGATAAATTTATTTGTAGAGAGCAGTTGTGTATAAATTTGTGTTACGTATTACAATTTGTAAGAGAGACTCATTGTATCACCCTTCATGTCGTCATTATTATCATCCAGATCATCATCATCATCACCTTGTCGTCACTTTTTCGTGTTCGTCATTTTCTCATCCATTTAATTAGTTAGTTCGTCGAGGAAAGGTCGGAGAGACTGACGAGAGGGTTCCGCCTGTTAGACGTACTATGTAAAGCCAGTACCAATATTAATGATGTTAATGAAAGTGATCTTTTGTTCAAGTGCTGGTTGATTTAACTGGTTACATTTTTGTTTTTCTTTTTCGTTTTAAAGATGTGCAACCATGGCGCGTACCCTCATTTTTCGTCCTTTCCCTCTTACCGTTAATTAAATAGGACGTGTTAGTTATATCTGTCCCTCAAACATTTTCTTGGACGCCAACAATGTTAAAAAAATAATAGTAATAATGGTGTTTTTTGTATAGAAGCCACTCTCCAACTTGATCGTCTTCTCATTGTAACGATGTTTGTATAGTAAATAAGTAGCATGACTCATGTATGGCTCCTCCAGTACGTAGGTGAGTCGTAGTTACCGATACACATGACTTTCACAAAGGCGCCTATGTACATTCTTGGAAAAAGTATATGTAGTTTTGTAAATTGAAATAATGTTGAGGATGTCAGAATAATAAACCATGTCTAGTGAAACCTGCGCTTGACTTTTATTTATTTTCTTCGCCATCTATACACCACATACTGTTCGTCCAGCTAGCCTAAAGTGTACAGTACCATTTGCAAAATTATTTAAACTGCTTCGTTAAAATTTAATAATACGCTTTATTTAAAAGCATATTTAGCCATAAATAATAACAAGTGAATTAACTTAACGTTCTACACACCTATAAAACTTTTGCTTTGTTTTCTATTGTTAATTTGTATACATTTTTGTTTTAAGAAATTGCTAAACATCTTCGTCTAGTACTGTACAGTTCTAGCCGATCTGCTAAGACCGCCCATTGTTCCAACTATTTCTGTCTTGCTCACGCCTAGTGTGTATTCTATATCTTCGCGCAGATTTCTTCAAGGTCACAATTCTAACAAATTGAAATAGACAGTAGGTATAAACAAAACTGAAGTATCTGTAATCCTTCTTTTTTATGCACTTGAGATACAAACGAGTTTTAAAAATCTTTTTGGATTAATCTTCGAAACGGCTGAACCGATTTCGATGATTCTTGTGAGGCGTAATCCAGGCTTTTTTTTTGTTTTTTTCTCTGTACGGGAGAATTTCGAAACGGTGGATTACTAACTACTTTTAAACGCCGACATTAAATAATATAGTACCTAATCGGTAATAAACAAGCAACGTCATGTGAATTAGACGCAAAAGAAACAAAAGCGTAACTATTCAACAATTAAACTAAAAAATATGCGACGTGTTATGTAAATATTTTCAAAACATGACGAACACTTTGCCCTTGATTTGCCATGAGCAATACTAAAATACAACGCAGCAACAATCTCACATATTTACAGATGATGCGATAGTATATCTTTATTTCCGGAAATTTATGATAAATACATTAAAATAACAAGTGCTGTGGGGTAAATGTGATAACGCAGAATAATAAAAAAGGTAAGTGTATGTATATGTACTAACTACTCATGTGTTAGTGTAAGTACTGTACATTAAAACACTGCGTAAATATAATGGTCGTATTTTATATGCACCTTCTTAATTTTAAGTAAGCCTAAGTAACATGCAAAGATATCTACTATATGTATGTATACTACTACTAAAATTTCTCTCGAAACAATTCAACAAAAAACAAGGTTAGTGAAAGTTATGGTACCGAACTAGAAATTTTTCTGCAGTTGCTTGCGATACTGTCAAAAAGTAGTAAGTGATATTTAGAAGTGAAAGTTGTCTTATCTTTTAATACTATAAACTGTCTGTCTACAATTTTTTTTGATAAATACTATAGTATAGTATACAGTCAAACTTCGATAACTCGAACTGCGATTTGACACATAAAAACTTCGAGTTATCAAATGATTCTTCTTTAATTACTATTTCTTTGTGAATGAACATTTATGTATTTATTTCAGTAAAAATTGGTTAAATGTTACATAAGTGCCTTAATATCTATGCTTATCAAAGGAATAACAAAAATTATGAAACAGTACTATCAACATATTTTTACATACATAGTAAGTGTTTACTATTTTACTGTAAAAAAGTCAGTTATTTGTGACTGACGAACGGATTTTTTATTTTGGTTTTTGAAAAAAGTTTCAATTTCATTTAAACTATTGTACAGGGCATCGGTTGTATATTCACTGGTTTTTAAATAGGAACGCAAGATACTCAACGAATTTAATGTAATATATAAATGAAATAGGCACAGTATTTTTTACTTATTGTTAGTAGTAACTAGTAAGTCAAACAAGTGAACTTAGCAAGCGCAGAAACTGAACTGCCTGCATAAATACGTTAAAAAAGGTAGGTTAAAATCGACCGTAATTACGGGATTCCCCCAGAAAATTCAACTTATCGAAGTTGGCGCAAAATATTTCGTTCGAGTTATCAAGATATTCCAGTAATCGAAGTTCGAGTAATCAAGACAAATTTACACGCATTTCCTACTTTTGACGCTATTGCCAACCAATTTGGTTCGACTTATCGAAGTTCGACTGTATGTAGATTTATTTGGCAACTATGTGTATCTAGGATATAAATTCATGCTTACGAAAGTGTCTCGTTTTTCCTATTACACGTCCTCGTACAGACAAAACAAAAAGTTCGGCTAACCTAAAAACTACACATTTTTTGTCGACATTTTTTCCGTTTATTGACACACGAGCGAAAATGCATATTGCACTTTTTCAATCACGTCTATCAGGGATCATTACCCGCTTTTCTGAAAACTGCACCAGACCAACCAAACTCTGCGTAACACCCCTCACAAGTTTTAAACTGTATTTATTGGACTTAAGTACTTACTATTTATAGGAAAAGATGGTTTAAGGTATGTTTACAAATATTCCTATACCACATCGCATTTTTCAAGAGATGATGCCACCCTTTGACGACTGCATGTAACAGAATATCTCGGTTTGCCACTAGTGTACAATCATAAACGCAAACACAAACATTAAGGTGAAAATTGATTTTCAATTTTTACCCACTATAAACTACCTCAGGTAAATGAGAGAAAATTTCTTGTTGTCGAGGTAGTTTATAGTGGGTAAAAAATTGAAAATCAATTTTCACATTAATATTTGATATTAACCACTATTAAATGTCAAAGTGTTTACTATATTATAAGACATTGTTTTATTAATTANTTTTACATATATATATATATATATATAGCAAACACAAACGTTAGAATCGTTGATAAGTATCACGAAAGCAAGAACGAAAAGTGAAATCATATGAAATAATTATGGGTAAGTGTTACAAGTGCTGCTCGAGTGAAAGTCACTAGCCACAGATTTAACCTAGAAGAGAACCAGGAAGCCAGATTGATCGGTGAAAAGTAACCATTAAAACGAAGAAAGTGCAGCCATCAACACAAACAAATCAACTAAGCATTAAAATGTGTCCCAGTTGTGTTTTTGTTGACATTAGGAGATTCAGTTAAAATTTAGATATTTCAAATTACGTTTTGTTCTGGTTAAATTTTATAAAAAAAACTTGGTTTTAGGTTTTTGATGTTAAATATTTAACGATTTGGCCAATTTATGAGAAATTACTTTTAAAAAAATTCATCCATATGACTAGAAAAAATGATAAGGTTCGCGCTCAAAACTCAAAGGTATTTTGTTATGTACAAAAAAATGTATTTTAAATAATTTATTTGGATAGTTTATACTTCCAAAAAATTTTTGCCGGTCCAGTTTTTGACAGTTTGTGGTCCGAACCTGGATCGCGGTCCGTCAGCCGATCGTTGCGATAGACCGTTGAACGAATGGTAAAAGTAATGAACAAGTAGATAGACTTTTTATATAAAAACAGTACTTTCCAATTATTCATTCCTTAACAAATTATTGATCATTGCGGTTACATTACTTTTTCTCGTTAGATAATAATTAATTTTTTCCGCAAAGTCCATGCGTTTCAGAACAATACATATGCTTAGTAAGTACAAAAATAGCTCAAAAAGGTATTAGTTAACGATTCGTAAAATTAAAATTCGCACGATTAGTACAATTGCAAATGGTCACTACATTAAATTATTTATATTTTTAAAACTGACATAAAATATACGACAGTTACAAAAGTGATATAGGATTCGCATTTGAATTTTGACCATGCTCTTCGTTACTTTAAAAGCCCTTAATTTGCAAAATAGTATTATAATTACTACTGTTGCTCCGAAGTAACTGCATACATACATACTCAAGGCTTTTTTATATTTTTATTGCGTATAAGTGACCTTGAATTAATTATATGATTATTGTGTTCATCATTAAAATATTTTTGTTCTGATTTAAATATAAAAATTGTAAGCATATTTAAAATACGTATGACTTTGATAAAAATTATTGTTATTTCTTATCAAACTTAATGAATAATAAAACGGTAATGATTAACAATACTTTCGTTCTTAAAAATGTTTTGTTGACTTATATGACCTTCACAAAAGTTTCAAACAAGTATTGAATCACTTTTTTTAATTACAAATCGAATTTTTGTTTTAAAGTAAGGTGACCATATTTTTTTATTTAAAATCCGGGACGGGAATTTGTAGCGGGGGGGGGGACTA